CCCCCCCCCCCCCCTCCCCCGCTCTCACCGGTGCGGTGAGCTCGGCGATTACCGATAGTGCACCCTGGTGCAACATCTCCCTGGACCTGCGGCGCTGAATCTTGCCGCTTGTTGTCTTGGGGATGGTCTTCTCCTTGATGGCCACCTGTGAGAAAACAAGCGGGGGAGAGAGAGAGAGAATAAAAATCCGGCTTGAAAACAAACGAAATCAACAACAAAAAAAGGTGTCATGATCGGTCGCATCATCCTGTCTCCCCCGCAGTGATTTTCCGGTGACGGTATTGTAGCATGCTCTTTTTTTGGGGGGGGGAGGTGGCTGATGCACGCAAGAACGACAGCAGCGGAATAATGATGTTCGGAACGAAACGTCGAGGACGACGACGTTCGTGCATCCACCGGACAACAACGGGTACAAGCAAAAAAGAGTGCACTAAAAGACAGTCAAAACGAAGAAAGAAAATTCATGTCGAATCAATAAAAAATGAACGGAACCTCCTCAGGAGAAAGTCAAACCCACCACCCTCGAAGGATAGCACCCCTCGGAGGCGATGGCGCGTCGGATTGCCTCCAGGCCCTCGGAGAGACCGTCCGGGTCCCCTTCCGCGCTCTGACGCACCTCCAGCACCACCTTGCGAAAAATAAAAAAAATAAAAAAGTTCCACAAAAAAGTTGGCAGAGGCAGGGCAGGATTATCAACAAGCGAAACGAAAAGAGGGGAAAAGGGCTGAAGACAGGAACTGAAACCATACACGCTGCCGTGCTCTTGATGGCCTTTTACTACCGCACGGTTGACTTCGAGGGATACAGCAGCATCCAGAGCCAGCATCGCAACCCGTACACAGGGCAGGGAGGAAAAAAAGAGAAAAAAAAAAACACGGCATCCCGCGGAGCTCTCAGGCGTTCTAACTATCTACAATGTTGTACATCCCCCGTTCTTGGTATGGAGGGGGAGTTTAGAGAGGCTTCTGCGATACCCCTCGCGAGAGGTGCGTCGAGAGTCACCGAGACGCTATCCTCCCCCCTCCCACTCTCTCTGGTCAACCCCCAACCATCACCTCAAACCCTCACCCTAACGTTGGTTCATCTACGATCGATCACAGCAGCAGCCTACTGCTTGCCGTGTCCTTGTAGGACGTCCTTACCTCCAGCTCTCCACCGAGCTCGGTAGTGGAGAAGGCCGCCACGCACCCCGGTCGGACCATGCTGCAGGCCTCCTGGACCGCGAACTCCACATCCTAAAAAAATAATAACAGCAATAACAGTAATAACAGCAGCAGCAGCAGCAGCAGCAGCCACGGTCGCGGCAAAACAACACCAACGGCAGAACTGCACGGTCAAACGGTCGCAGTCGAATTAATTACCTAGAAGACGACACAACTTCCGTGACGGACAACAATAAAAACGAAAACAAAAAGTCGTCAGGACGGACATGAAAACGGAGGGGGGAGGGGACAACGAACAAACGTCTACATATGCCACGTGTATGCCATCATTTTTTTTGTTTTCTTTTTTATTCTCTGGTCAAGCGCAATTCTCAGATTAACGTTGGAGGTTACAACCATGAAAGGAGGCGTGTTGGCTCAGGAGACACAAGTCCCACATCAAGCTTGAACCAACACTATGGTGACTATGCTCCGAGGACGATATTGGTAGTTCCACCTGCATCGCCCTTCACGCACCTGAGGGTAGAGGTTCCTTCCCCTCACGATGATAAGGTCCTTGATCCTGCCCGAGATGAACAGGCGGCCGGAGCCCCCAGCCTCCACCCTGGCGAGGTCTCCTGTGCGCAGGAACACGGTCCTGCCATGTCCATGAGTTGCGTCCACGGAGCACGCCGCGTTGTGTGTGCTTTTATTATTAGCATCGACCGCGCTAACCGGGGGTGTGTGTGTGTGTGTGTTTCTTTTGGCCTCTAGGGGGACATCATCACCACAACAGCAAGCGCACGCTTTTCAACACCAATCAACCGCGTGTGACAAAGAAAAGAAAAAGGCTCTTCCAACGTAGTTGGGCTCTGCAATTGGGGTGTGTTCCACCCACCTTTTCATACACGACACAACAAAACAAACAGGATTTTGATTCCGAATGTAGACTGAGTTTGCCAGAGGTCGAGATCCCTCACACGATTTCGGGAGGGGGGGGGCAGGGAACTTGAAACGAAACCGCCGTGGCTCGTTTCCGAATGGTTGTCTCTCTCGTCTTCAAAAACTGCTGTCATCATGATTGTTCTTGTCTCCAAATCAAAAGGTTACCCCGACCGGAAGCGGTGTAGATCATAAGAAACCGACCTCGCGACACGTGCAATATGGAACCACCAAAGCTCTGCGGATACATACACATAGCGTGAGGGAAGATGTTGATTCTCCGGGAGTGGGCGTTCCTTCGTCACGAGTAAGACGAGCGCCAGCAACCAAAACAACGTGCCAAAAAAATTACTCTCCGGAGTAGATACCTTTTTCAGGGTAAGTTAGCCTGTGACCATGAGAATCGACCGGTCAAATAGTACGGATAGATGAAGGAACTGGGTGGAGAGATCGGAACGTGTTTTTATGTCAAGACAACAACAACAACAACAACAACAAATGACAAGAAAAAAAGCCCGAACTTCGAACAAGCTCTCACCCTGTGGGGTTATCCGAACCCTCCCCTTGCTCTTCCCCGACAACATTGGCGTTAAAAGCTTCCTCCGTCAGCTCTGGTTGTCCCCAGTAGCCAGCCGCCACAGACGGGGACGAAAGCCAAAGCTCCCCTACTTCGCCCAACGCCACCTCTCGCCTCGTCTTGGGATCGACAATTTTCAGCTGACGTGACGTCAAATGCGGTGGTGGGGGAAGGAGACATGTTGAAGGCAGTACCAGGACAAAACAAAAAAAATGCGCGTGGACACAGCGTCTTGCCTTATCTGTAGCAACGACCACCGCACAACAGCAGCAGCAGCACACCCTAACCATGCACCCACATACATGCTACAATATACCTTCGACCCGTCGGAGAGCCTCTCCAACTGCCCCACGCACTCCAAGTCCTCGTCGGTGAGCTCAGAAAGAGGCCTTCCCCCCAGGTTAGCCTCGTGCGCGCAGACGCCCACCACGTGCTCCGCTAGGCCATAGGCGGTGCCGCAGTAGGCGGGGCTGAGCCCTAACCCCTCGAACGTCGCCGCGAAGTCGCGAATCTGCAATTCGGCGAGGGGGTCGCC